CAACAATTCATAAGTTATCTTAAACGGTTCGCAATTTTTTTTTCTTTTTTTCGCCATATCTTCTTGATCATGATCATATAATATATCGATATTATATGTAAAATGGCAGGAGTAAATATTTCTTTTTGGGGTGAAATTTTTATGTCGGTCACGTTTAGTGATGCCTATGTGATGCTAATTATCACGTGCTATTACTTATAAAAAATCAAAATACTGTACGTAGATGTTGATGATTTTTATATATTGTACCACGTGCCAATTAGCGTCACATGGTTTCGTCAGGCTTCACTAGTCACGTTACATACACAACCACATATGGTAGGTCACAACGCTAATGATCGATATTATTAAAATCAATCCAGCAATCATGTTTATAGTTTGTAACTGTTAATTCGCATCCAAAATCATAGAATGTTGTCGATATTTATCCCGAATCAGTAACTTTTCATTTTTTAAAAAGAACTAAAGAAGAAAAGGCTTTCTGAAGATTATAAGTTAAAAAAATCGTGCTGCCCTCAATTCAATACAAAATTACGCGCCCATTTTTATTTTCCATTTCTTGGAAGACTAACGAATAAGAGAAGAATACATAAAATTTATAAAGCGAGAGTCTAAACTTATTTGGAGTATTAAAGAAAATTTCAGATAAGCAGACTTCAACCTCAACCTAATCTAGTCAGGATTTAATTACTTCGTTTTAGATAAACTTCCAAATAAGGAAATTGAAAGTAATACTGTATTGGTCATTTGCTAATCCGTTGGAAAATTAACTCACCAGATCAAAAATAATCTTGGTGTTACAATCTAAACAATTTCGTTAAACAATTTTTGCAGTGATTTTAGGATTAGGTAGAGTAAGCTATAATTATAACAAATTTTCGCAAGGAAACTTTTTTTTTTAGTGCACAGAAAACAATTTCATTTTTAATCTTCGCGCTACATCTAATATTTAGGATATATTATTAACGCTAACACAGTTCATTCATGTAATACTTTTTAAAATTAATGCAGTACAAAAACTATACGTATTACGACAATTTATGAAGTTTAATATCTATCCTCAGTCAATAGTACGAGCTTAAATATGATTAAATAATTGCTAAGTTTTCTTATGATTCATTAGAATCGGTTAAAATTTACAATTCAATATCATCTAATGGTAGCTTTAAAATTTTCTCAGTCAAATATAACAAAACTATAATCCTAAATAAAAGAATGTACAAGTGTTTATGGGGCGCCGCTGGCGCCCTTTCATGACAAATTATGTTATCGTCACAAATCTGCTAACTACCCAGTAACACATAGCATGTGATTAAGGTTAGTTTCATTGGGATTATCACGAATTATATCATGAATTATTATAAATAATTCTATTACAAACTTACTTGCCATGCCGGTGATACATAGTATGTTGATAAGTTGAGTTGGTTTGTATTAGAATTGAGTTATTGGAAAACATTTGGTACAGAATCTATTATCATTCTTATCAATTTAGTTTGATTCAATTTTTTTTTTTTTTTGTGAGCTCCGTGAGTCCTACGATTACGATATATGTAATTGCGTAAACTTGTTATATTTTGCAAAATCCATCTTTCACATAAAATTTGTACAAAATGCGTTCACTCAGGGTCCTTGCGTTTCGTGCGAAGCATATAAAAATAAAGTATATGATATATAAGTGCAGCCAAGGGAAAACCTACAAGTTGTATTTACTTTTAATAAAATATCTTAAAATCAGGCAATTTAATATCTATAATTTTAATATCATTTGAATCATCTTAATGGGACGATTCAAATAATATTAAGAACAGTAGACATTAATTTGCCTGTTTTTAAGATATTTTTATTAAAAGTTAATATTCTTTGGCGGCACTCATATAGTATAACCCGTTTTATTACCCGTGTAAAACATGAGGTTGATATTGATCAAAAGCTATCGGTCAAACTAGTACAAATTAGTCGTAGATACCCAAAATAAGAACTAAAATGGTGATACAAAACTCGTACATACGTACCGTAAAATCCGGACACGTGTACCCGGGTATTTTCATTACTCAATTTAGTACCCGGAGTACCTCTATATGGGGGTATGCCGTATTGAGACAATATGTTGTTACACTTGAAATCAACCTCTTGAAACGATTCCGGGAACTATGGTTTAGTCTATCACAGACTAATGAATTAGTGATTTGGCTAGGTGAAAGATGCGTTGTTACAACGACTTAGGCAGAGGTTTATTAGGCTTTATTGAAAGAGGCAACAGCTCAAATGTATATGAAGATACGTAGGGCTGGAATTACTGGAAGAATCACGAATCACATGTGATTGAAATAACAACCGAGAGTCACGAGTCACACGTGAACACAGGCTTATGAATTTAACATGTATGAAGACACATACGGGTTTATTAATAATAAGAATATCTGTTCCAATACGAAACAGAAACTGAATATAACAACAAAAGATAACTGTATGGAGACAGTTAAAAGGAATACAGTGGAGAATTTGAAACTAGGCTATTAAGGGAATTATATATATGAAGATATATAATTATTAAAGAGATGTTGAAGACTAAAGAAGCTAACTAGGCTTATTCGCATTCTTTATATAACAAATGCGGCCATATAATTATTTACAATAGACGACTATAACTCTATTATTATCTATTGATCTATTAATGACTTATCCACCATTCTTATCAACACCAATCCCTTCACTATTACACACGCACGCTTCAGGTCTTTGTCTTTAATGGGCCTCACCCCGGGCTTGATCCATCACGATCTTGATAATAATTTTGTGAAAAGCCCTTAAGCTTGTTCATTTCTTGCTTATCCACATGGATGGCACGAGCGGAATAGAGCTTTTTGTCTAAATAATAGCGGCAATGAGGCCAGTTTTGGGTTAGAATCATCAACGTAATAGCATATAGACTCTTTTAGGGACTACTATTGATGTCGCGGCATGTGTTGTCCCTTACGCTACACATCACCAATATCGGGACCGATATAGTAACTAAAAGTGTTGTATATGGTTTAACAATTTGGGAAAAAGGGTGCTGTGTATAATAGTACAGATACGGGGTCAGTACGAATATTAATAAGTTGATTATCTATTGATCATTAGCGATCAATGGTTTGAGGAGTTCAAGAAGATCATTGCTGCGGCAATTACATGCCATGCCAATCAAGTTCTTCTTTAAGTTGTTGGCACGTGCAGCATTACTGTAGTAATAACAGGGGTAAATTCGCAGTATCTCTGAATATCCTGTGGTAACACGTACAATGATTATAGGGATATCAGAAGGCAACTTTCAGGTAACATTTACTCTCCCCTTTAATCATGAGCTCCTGCGAATGAGTAGTAGGAGTTCACGAAGATTCTGAATTCAGACCACTTATTGCTTTCCTTTCTGTAACTTCCTTAAATGGTTGGCGGTGGTAACATTTACCAACCATAATCGTTTCATTGACATCATCAATGAACACCCATTATAGCCTAATAGGTCAATCATAATACATTTACTCGTAGTTTCTTTATTGTTTCTCATAATACCGTTTTAATAATAAGGCGTTATGAGGGGTATCTAAGGGACATCCTTCCATTGTTTTCAGTTTATAGACATCTTGCGCAACTTTTTGTTCAACTATAAAAGGGCCCAACCATCATAGTAGAAATTTTCCTGAATGGCTATTAGCTTTCGCAGCATCATATAACAACACTTTATCGCCCTTATTGAAAACCCTCATCACTTTTTTTAATTTCTGGACCCAATGAAGCTTCTGTTGTCTTTGAGAGCGATTTATATTTTTCACGGCCATAGATCGCTTAACAGGTAAATCATCTATAATTGTGGTTAGTCAATCTGCTAGATTCCCACTACCTTCCCGATTTGAATTAATGTCAGGATATTTGGCTTCATGTCCATATGTGAGGTAAAACAGTATAAACCTGATAGTAGATTGTTTGGCAGTCCTATAGGCAAATATAACAGATAGGATTAAAGTATCCCATTCTTGGTCTTGGTTTATTAATTTAGCCAGGGCTTAACATAAGGTACAGTTGTACCTTTCTACCAGACCATTGGTTTGGAGATGATACAGTGTTGACAACAAATGCTTAATTCCCATTTGTTGTGTAAGATATCAAATCATATCATTATTGAAATGGAGGCCTCTATCTGAGACTATTTCAGACGGGCATCCATGTCGACTAATTATCTTCTGATAGATAAAGTTGGCGGTTTGATAAGCAGTTGTATCCGGTGTGGCTTTGGCTTCTGGCCACTTTGTCATATAATCTACAGCTACGATGATATATTTATTTCCACTGGTTGTTAGGTCTAGGGGCCTAATGAAATCAATCCCTACCTTGTGGAAGAGAGATTCAACTACAATTGGCTGCAGAGGACCTCGAATTCGATTCTTGCCGCATTTTGGCATGCGTTACATGCCTAAATGTACTTTCTAATATGTTTGTACATCTGGGGCCAATAATATTGGTTCTTGACTTTTTCGAACACCTTTTCGATCTCTAGATGAGCTTCTAAAGAATGGTCATGCATTAGGTACAAGATTGGGTCTATCTCCAGCAGCTGTATTACTCTTAAAAGCTGGTTCCTTGTTTGTTTTCAGCGATCTCTTTTGTATAATAGGTGATTATACACCACATAAAATTTACTTTGGGCTTCCAGTCATTGTTTTTGTCTTGCCGTAAAATTCTGAGGATAGTTGGCCATTTCCAAGAAGGCTTTTATTTGGTTATATTTCGTCGAACCCATAATAAAAAAAAATGATAATAAAAAAAAAAATAAAATAAGAAAATAAAAAAAAAATTAGATAGTTAATTTTAAAGCTATTTGGTTTAGTTTAATTAGGTAAGAAAAGTAGATTAGTTTAGTTTAGTGTAAATGTAGTTCTTAGGTATTCTCTGTACGGTTGCAGTAACTGACTTGCAAAGTTTAGTGTCATTTGTGGATAGAAAGCTTTCTTAGAACAAAACTAAAGGCACACCATCAGATTTAGTACCTTCCACCAAACCAAATTACACAAGTATGTGTCCTTCAAGTTGTTATGTTCATTCAGCTGGCGGTTAGTTGGGGTATTCAGTTGGTGCATCCACCAGGGTTGGTTCCGCAACAGCCCCTCATAAGGTTGCGGTTGTAGCCTATTAGGGGCTTGGGGTAGATGGTTTAGTATGGGTGGAAGCCTAGCTGGATAATTTTCTAAAATTCTATTATCACTTAATTCCACATATGGAGTGTAGATTGGTATTACGGTTCCCATTTCAGATAGTACATTCCATATATGGGCGGTTTCTTCTTCATAGTTTGGTGTGGACTAGTAGCATTTAATGATTTTATCTAGTGGACAACTTTTAAGGGTCGTCCATATCTGTAGATCACATTTGCTCTTAATGCAATCATCTGAAGGGGAATAGAGTTTGTCACCACACCAGCACTGGGCCGTAGAACCTCCCTAGTCCCATAGCCAGTACTTATTGTTATTCTTCTGCCTTAATTGAGCACTAATGTGCTTAATACAATACCAGGTATACATTTGTCCCTCGAACCTAATTCCATTAGAGGTAAATTCAATTTGCTAGTAGGGGTATATCCCATACAACATGGCTGGTGGTGGATTGGGGCTTAAAGTTCTGATAACTTCTTGTAAAACTTCTTCATCCAGTTCTATTTATTTATACCAGTCCATCATATACACTATTTTTTCGTCTTCTCTGGGAATCCAAGAAAGGGCATCTGCATTAGTATGTGTTTGGCCTGGACGGTAGATAATAGTAAAATTATAAGGTTGTAGCCTCATAATCCACCGGGCATGTTTTCCTTTCAATTCTGAAGTTCTTAACCACTGTAAGGCGGAATGATCTATAATAAGATAGAAGTGCTTTGATCCTAGGTATTGGTAGAAGTGCTTTACGGCCCAAATGACCGCTAGATACTCTAATTCTGGAATAGAGTAATTTTGTTCATTTTTGTTCAGACTCCTGCTAGCATATGCGACAACAAACTCTCTGTTGTCACCATCTAGTTGAGCTAATACCAAGGTTGAGACATCTGTATAAAGGTGGAATGGCCTATTGTAATTTGGGTACTGTAGTACCAGGGTAGTAGTTAATCGGTCCTTAAAGACATTGAAGGCCTCATTTTGAGGTTTAGTCCAACAATAAGGCTCATCTTTCTTTAGAAGCAAATTTAGTGGCTTGGCTATACTTGAAAATCATTCAATAAATTTCCGATAATAGGAGGCCAACCCTACGAAAGATCTGACTTGTTTCTGGGTAACTGGAGTGGGGAAATCTCTGATTTGCTTGATTTTATTCCTATTGGGAAGGATTCATTTATTACTTATAATATGATCTAAGTAATGGATTTTGTTATATAAGAAGTAGCACTTCTTTGAATTTAATTGTAATTCTGCTTCTTCTATTCTAGCAAGGACCTGTCGCAGGTGGTCCAAATGTTCTTCAAAGGTTTTGAAATATATAATCACATCATCCAAGTAAACCACCAAGAAGTGGTTAATGAAGGGCTCAAAAATATGGTTCATTAGCCGTTGGAAGATTGAGGGCACATTACAGAGTCCAAACAGCATCATATTGAAAGTATAAGTGCTAAATTTTGTGATAAATGCTGTTTTCTTAATATTTTCTGGTTTCATGGCAATTTGCCAGTACCCACTAGCAAAGTCCAAGTTAGTGAACCATTGGGCTCCCTCGAACATGGTTAATACTTCATTGACGTTAGAAAGTGGGTAAACAGTTTTCTCAGTTACCGTATTAAGCTTGCGGTAGTCAACACAAATCTGTTTAGACCCATTCTTCTTGGGGACTAATACCACCGGGCTAGCCTAGGGGCTTTTAATAGGCTTACTATTCCTTGGTCTTGCATGGCAAGGATTTCTTCCTTCAAAAAGTCCTGGTCGTCTAAGGGCATACCATAAGGATGTTGTTTAATGGGGCGGGCATTTTCTGTGTCTATTTCATGAAACACAAGGCTAGTCTGGCCCAGCCCTACTGTCTGACCACTCTTGCTGATTTTCTTAGCAAAGTTATGCATGTTTTCATGCAAAAGATCTATGGCTTGCTCTTGTTGTTCTGGGTCAAATCCTTATTTATATCAAAAAGGATGTCATGGTTGTCCTGGGGGCTTTTTGATGACTCAGCCAGATATACTGCTGGGTTCTTATCGCTCCAGGAGTTGTAGAAAAGTCTATCCTCATCTGAGGAACTGCTGTCTGTATAGAAGGCTTCCTAATCTTCATCATCATCTTCTTCCATCTCATCAATCCAATTTTCTTCATCAGTGAAATCTTCATAGTCTTGGGGTAGGTTTCCATTACTAACATGGGTGGCGTTGATGGTAGCTTGTTTATCTAGGTACCTAATATGCAAAGTATTACTGCCAAAGTCTAACTTGGTACGAACTTGCTGAACCAATCGGTCTTTAGCAGCAATGTTTCTTCCTGGGATTCTATAACTTGTAAGTTTATAAGGATTATTAAATCTTGAAGGCAGATTTAAAAACACGGCTAATTATCCCTAAGGCTTTGGTACAGTTGCTATTTGCAATTACAACTACCATTTTAGACGGCTTGTCAATGGCTAGACAAAGTTTCTTCATCAAATTGTAAGTGATAATACTTACAGCAGCCCCGGAGTCCAAGATGGCTACTACTGGGGCTTCTTTGATCCGTACGTGGCAATACATAGCTATTGTTTTGTGGGGGCTAGTAGCTTCTAAATAGTTGGCTTCAGTACTAGGATCTTTTCTCATTCTTAAAGCCTTAGCCAAATTTCATTTTTGGTTGGCATACTGCAACATTTGGCTATATGTGACCTGAGCTGGAGCTTAAATAGGTTCTTGAAAATATCATACAGTTGGAGTTTATCAATGACTGACGGTAGTCGATGCTTAACTACCCGTTTTACCAGAATTGTTGGTTGAACCTGGTCTTCCAAGTTCATTGGGTCTTCTGAATCTTCTTCCTCCTCGACCACTGGCAGTTGTACCTTAGGAACTTTAATTCTTAAAACGTGCTCTTTTCGAGATTCTGACTGCTTTAATTTTTCCTTTTGACCTCTTCTATTAGTAAAATATGATTGTGGTCTATTAATATAGACTTCTTTCTCGATTTCATTATCATAGTTAGTTCCAACAAAATTTATGTTTTTATTCTCACTATTATTGGCATTAGGTCTTTTTGAGAGTTGGTAACGTTGCTCTACATTAGGGACTTGCTCCGATAAACACTCATAAGCATAATGTCTGAGTTTTCCATATCTATGACAGGTGATATGGGCAACTCTTGATGACTCATGTCAGGGCATAGTTGGTTTGGGGTCTTATTATCTACTTGTGCTACTAGGGCCGAAGCTATAGTAGCATAGTTGAGGCTCATTTGCTGCATTTGTTAAATCAGTTGTTCTATCTCCCTATCATAGTTCCTGGTAACACCGGTAACAATGGGGCTAGCATTAGTAGCGAAATCTGTACCTTGCTCGTAGGTACATGCCAGGTCTAATATTTCATCCATATCAGCTAGATTATGCATAAGAATAATAAGGAAAAGGTCCATATGCAAACCCTTCTTGAAATAAAATAATTTCTGGGGGTCCTGTAAGTTCATACCAGGCTCTAGCCTCTTAATTAGACACCTAAACTTGCTATAATAAGTCTCAATGGACTCATCTAGCAATTGTTTCAGGTTATCCAACTCTGCAACCCACTTGTTGGTCCATTGCTGGGTACAAAATCTAGCTTTGAAAGCATCTGAGATAGCTATCCAATCACCATCAGGGTCAGCCGGGTTAGCTGCAGATGAATTAGTGGCAAAATAGATCTGCTGCCAATCATCTACATTACTTAGTAAAAATGCAGGTAATATTTCTTATTTTTGACAGGTACTCCATTTATTAGCCATGGCAGCTTTCTCAAAACTCTCAATTCATGCCTGTGGATCTTGGGTACCATCTTTCAGGAATGGTTCTATCTTCAACAAAACACTTTCTCGTTGATTGGTCTGAAGATAGTCTAAGACAGTTTGAGCGTTGGCCATAGGTTGAATTCTTGGTGAAATAGGTGGGGTTTTAAATAATATATCAAGATCTAAATCGTCTTCGGATTTGGACGTGGTAGATCCTGGAGCACTTATTACTTGCTGATATAATACTAGAAAAGGGTTTAAGTTAAACCTGTTAGTCCTTTATACACTTGTTGTAATTGAGCTGCTAAAGTCCCAAAGTTAGAGTCTTCGTTATATTGGCACAAATAAGTTAGAGTGTGGAAATATACTTCTAGTTAATCTTTCGCTTGTTCTAACCTCTGGAATAGGTGGAGAGTACAATCAGTATATGTACGTACGGGGTATTCAATGGCAAACCAAAGTCCAAAATTTTATATATTGGATAGAAGTATTTGTTACTATTGGGTAACAAAGTATACAAGAAAAATCCAGAAAAGTCTGGTGAAGTTGTTGACGGACTTGTACTCTGGTACCAGGATATAAGGTATACTGGTGATCATGTTGTGTTGGTTATTCTTATGGACAAATTCAGGGTAGAAGATCATACAATACTTCTATAATTAAGACTTCAACGATGGAGACCATATCTCACAGTCACCACCAAAATTTTATACTTGAAATTGACCTCTTGAAACGATTCCGGGAACTATGGTTTAGTCTATCACAGACTAATGAATTAGTGATTTGGCTAGGTGAAAGATGTGTTGTTACAACAACTTAGGCAGTGGTTTAGTAGGCTTTATCGAAAGAGGCAACAGCTCAAACGTATATGAAGATACATAGGGCTGGAATTACTAGAAGAATCATGAATCACACATGATTAAAATAACAACCGAGAGTCATGAGTCACAAGTAAACACGGGCTTATGAATTTAACATGTATAAAGACACGTACGGGTTTATTAATAATAAGAATATCTGTTCTGATACAAAACAGAAACTGAATATAACAACAAAAGATAACTGTATAGAGACAGTTAAAAGGAATACAGTAGAGAATTCAAAACTAGGCTATTAAGGGAATTATATATATGATGTTGCGGCATGTGTTGTCTCTTATACTACACATCACCAATATCAGGACTGATATGGTAACTAAAAGCACTGTATATGGTTTAACAATTTGGGAAAAGGAGTGCTATGTATAATAGTATGGATATGGGGTCAGTATAAATATTAATAAGTTGATTATCCATCGATCATTAGCGATCAACTACTATCTACCTGAGTAATACATATAGTATGTATAATATCTATATACCCAGGTATAAGTCACGAACTGATGCTTCAAACTGTCTGAATTTTATAGTAATCATGCATATAAGGCTATAATAGAAAGTTAATTTTTTAATTAAAATTTTAAAAATAATGGCTTTTAATTTTATTTTCAAAAGTTTTATATATAAAAACATAAAAAAAAAAAATATACCAAATAATTTTATAGAATTTGACTCAACCGGGTTATACCAATTTATTAAATTTGTATGACTTAACGTTCTTAACTAATCGCACTTTTTAAATTTAATTTTTATCATTCTATCAATAATATTAAAATATGATTCAACAATTTAAAAATGAT